ACTGAGATCACTGTGTCTGAAAGGTTGGTCTCAGTGTGAGAGGATAGTTGGTCATTTTCCAGCAGGGAGGACTAATCTATGGGATCATTTCCAGTAGGGAGGACTCATATTTGAGCTCATTTTCCCATTCAGAATCTCTCTACACTCCCGTTGAAGGCTCTATAGTTTGATCACTGACTCTCTCCAACCTTGCCATGTTCCTCAGTGACACCTGGCATTTGCAGATTAAATTGTCCAATGTTGTCCTTGAACATGTCTTTGATGAACCTCTCAGTTCACTTCAGAGTTGTGTCATCTTGACTTCAGGGTATGGAATATAAGCTACCTCTACTGTACACACATACACGCCATAGATGTAGTAGACTGTGCTCTAGACAGGGAAAACACCATTTCCTTGCTGGAATTTTATCAGCATGTACTTTTCTTGAAGAGGTGGAAGTTAGATTTTATTTTATGTTTTGTTTTTATATAGCTATCAAATGCTTAGCTGCATAAGTTGCATCCTCAGCACGATGCACACACTGAAGTCTCATGACTGGGCCTTTTATCATACTGTCCAACATCTCCTCTGAATTTTTCTTTCAAATTACCTCATAAAATGTCCCATTTGCATTTAGTGTTATTTGGTTACACCTATACTAGTAAATAAAACTATGTTTTCGTCCTATCCATTTCGGAGCAGCCCTTCTGAGAATCTGCTTTGGCAGGAAATATGTTTTGCTAACACTAGTCACCGTCGAATTGGCTCCACCGTAGCACAAAAACATGTATTTTCCTTGTGTCAAGGAAGAATGGTGGACAGCAACTCATCTCTAGTATCTGTGACCTAAATACCTAAAATTTCAGGATAGTAGCTCTTACAGGATTATTTCACATCTGCAAAAAAAGGACTGATTCACGTTTATTGCCCTTGACTGCACCTGCTATCTATGAAGTTGTCTCAATAAAAAAATGTCTTTGTCTAGCACTGGCACAGGCTTGCAACCATCATCGGTTCGGTCCATCTCACAGCATGAAGTATCTTCTCAAAAGTTCTAGGGCAAGTATTAGTTCACCTCCAGCAAAATACAACATCCCTATACTGATAAAGAGATTGTCAGATGAGGAGACTTGATTCTTTAAACATTACTTCTTGTTCTTTAACTCCATATCATTGAAGATAGAGCAATACAAATTGCATCGCATGGCCATTGAGTCCTTAGGAGCGTCAAGGGTGATTTTAGGACTCCGTCATGACACTTTAACATTTATCCATCAGAAATAATTTACAATCTTATCATGTCATTGGACTCTTACCTCTCCACCACAGGGAGATCTTGACTGATATGCACCTGCATAAATTCTCATGCCATACTATACCTGTAAGGTGACTATACCAGTCCGGTAACTGACTGGATAGGAAACTTCTGCTTAAAAGACCCTACAGTGAATGTTCATGTATGTAAACACTCTAAAATAGAAAAGTGTTTTATCACTAACTGGAGTTTCCTGAAGTGTGCTGGCTTTTTACCTATTCACTTCCCTTTCTACTCCACCTCCCCCTCTCATCCTTTCTCCTTCAGTGTCCTTTGGGAAACTTTTGGCTTCAGGAATTTGAGTAATTCCTGAAGCGGGACTGCTCCACTATCAAATCATATCTTGTAGGACTGAAATCCTCGATTTGGGTCATGTAAACAATTACAGATGCAGATATTCTTCCACTGGACCCAGCCTTTTAGTTGTTCTGGATATGTGGAGAAGCAAACCTCTAGTGTTCAGACAACTTCCAGGAAGGTTTCTCCAAGGATACCGTGTGGTTTGTGGGTTTGTTTTCTTTAAGTCGTAATTTAAACTTGCATCTGATTTCTGCCTGTCATGGTTTAAGCCCAGCCAGCAGCTAAGCAGCACACAGCCACTCACTCATTCCCCCTATTTGAGATGAGGGAGAGAATCAGATGAGTAAAAGTGAGAAAACACATGGGTTGAGATAAAGACAGTTTAATAGGTAAAGCAAAAGCCACATGCACAAGCAAAGCAAAACAAGGAATTCATTCACTGTTTCCCATCAGCAGGCAGGTGTTCAGCCACCTCCAGGAAAGCAGATCTCCGTCACATGTAATGGTGACTTGGGAAGACAAACATCATCACTCCGAACATACCTCTCTTCTTTCTTCTTCCCCCAGATTTATATGCTGTGCATGATGTCATATGGTATGGAATATCCCTTTGGTCAGTTGGAGTCAGCTGTCCTGGCTGTGTCTCCTCTCAACTTCTTGTGCACCCCCAGCCTGCTCGCTGGTGGGGTGGGGTGGGAAGCAGAAAAGACTCTGTGTAAGTACTACTCAGCAGTAACAAAAATATCCCTGTGTTATCCACACTGTTCTCAGCACAAATCCAAAACATAGCCCAGTACTAGCCGCTGTGAAGAAAATTAACTCTATGCTAGCCAAAACCAGCACATTCTCCACCCCTTATTCCATACCATTTACATCATGCTTAGGTCCCACGCTACCCACAGACTGTGGTCCCTTAGGGGTATACTTGGTCTGAGTGGAGCCTTATCTATGAGCCACAGTCTCTTCAGGGATATACCCGCAGCAGCGTAGGCTTATGCACAGCCACAGTCGCTTTGAGATGCACCTGTTCCAGCATGGCCTTATCCATGGGCCACAATGCCTTCAGAGACATAACTGCTCCAGTGTGGCCTCACCCACAGCCAGTCCCTTCAGAAGTAAACCTGCTCCACCATGGCCTTACTCATAGCTGCAGTCCCTCCAGGGGTGTACCTGCTCTGTTGTGGGCTTATCCATGGCCATGATCTTGGAAGTGCTCCAGCATAACCTCATGCATAGCCACTGATGCTTCAGGGTGTACCTGCTGCAGCATGGACTTATCCACAGCCACAGATGCTTCAAGATATACCTTCTCCAGCGCGGACTTATCCTTGGACCACAATCCCTCCAGAGGTATACCTGCTGTTGCATGGACATAACCACAGGCATAGGCACTTCAAGAAGTATCTGGTCTGGGATGGGCTTATCCACAGCCGCAGATGCTTTGGGGTGTCTTGCTCCCACGTGGACTCATCAACAGGTCACAATCCTTTCAACTCAAGTTCACTCTGGAGTTCCAGCCTGTCTAGTACAGGCAGCACAGAAACAGCAGCACAGAAGTAGCAGTCTGGTCATCTGCTGTCACCAAAAGGTTCCCAGGCACAGTAGAGTAAGATGATAAACCATACAGCAGCACAGCAAGTAACAAAAGCAAAAAGCCACCACTAATGAGAACTAAACTCTAATATACAGTAAGACCAGCAAGCCCCACAGCAAGCACAGGAGCCTGCCAGTTAATAGCTAAATGGCAATAACAGCTATAAATACAATCTAGGACATTCCAATCATATCTGTCATTATCTCGAACCCTGCAAGCCCCACATTGGGCACCAAAAAGGACTGTCATGGTTTAAGCCCAGCCAGCAGCTAAGCAGCACACAGCAACTCACTCACACACCCTGGTTGGGATGGGGAGAGAATTAGAAGAGCAAAAGTGAGAAAACACATGGGTTGAGATAAAGACAGTTTAATAGGTAAAGCAAAAGCCACATGCACAAGCAAAGCAAAACAAGGAATTCATTCACTGCTTCTCATGGGCAGGTGTTCAGCCACCTCCAGGACAGCAGGGCTCCATCACATGTAATGGTGACTTGGTGATGAACACCATCACTCCGAACATACCTCTCTTCTTTCTTCTTCCCCCAGATTTGTATGCTGAGCATGATGTCATATGGTATGGAATATCCCTTTGGTCAGTTGGGGTCAGCTGTCCCAGCTGTGTGCCCTCCCAACTTCTTGTGCACCCCCAGCCTGCTTGCTGGTGGGGTGGGGTGAGAAGCAGAAAATGTCTTGATTCTGTGTGAGCACTGCTCAGCAGTAACAACAATACCCCTGCGTTATCAACACTGTTCTCAGCACAAATCCAAAACATAGCCCAGTATTAGCCACTATGAAGAAAATTCGCTCCATTCCAGCCAAAACCAGCACACTGCCCAAGATCTTTATTGAGTTTTGTTTATCGCTCGTTGATCAATCAATTTGAAATTATTTCCTTTTCTCAGAGAATATTTAAATATATACCTCAATATATGCTTATGTTTTCTGAGATGGTGATAACTGTGTAACTATACAGTAAATAAGTTTAACAGAAAAGAAAACTTAGAATCAGTCAAAATTAATATAAAAACAAGAAAGAAAAAAACTGAAAAGGCAGAGAAATTAATGAAACACAAAATATGAAAATGATAGTGCAGTAACGCTATTTCTGTTATAGAATGGAAACAGAGGAACCTGAAAAATATAGGTATAATGAAAAAAGTAAGTGAAACGGTTTTGAAAACCAGTCAACAGTGGGAATCTGAAGAATGCAAAATGTAGGAATTCCTATACTTATCTCTAGCAACTGTGTGTTTATCAGCATTTGCAAGACTAACTTAGTCTAGTCTGATAAAGTTTGAAATTTCTTTGGGTCTTTGCAACATTCGTCTCCTGGAAAAAAAGTATAGGGAACTTTTTAAATGTTCCAGCCCTACAGAGAATACAGTGTGCTCCTTAAAGCATATAATAAGTTTTCCAATATTTGGCATATTCCAAAAAGAACCTGCTGAAATCAACTCTCCTGCTCAATATCTGTGCTGTGTATTTGTAAAATTGCAGTGTGCTGTAAAAGTTTTGTTGGCTGACTGTAAACATATTGTATTGAACAGTGCTATTCCAAAATTCTTTTCCTAGTTGATAGCCACAATTCTTTATAAGCCATGTTACATTCATTTTATAATCGTTATTTGAACATTAAAACTTGCAGTCATGAATGGTTTCTGACATATTGCGTTGTTATCTCTGTGTATACCTCAATGTTAAATAATATTAAAATATTGGTAAGTTTTCTCTGTGAAAAGTTTAGGATGACACAAACAGCAGTAAACACATTTAAAGAAATATGGACACATTTACTGCATATGTAAAAACAATGATATAATTTATGTTATGGTCAACAGTGTTAACTTTGAGATAATTGTCTCACGAGGGACACACACCAACAATCAAGTCAGCTTTTAAATCTCAGCTAGCACTTTTAGTTAAGTTCAGAGGTTTTCTACTAGTATGCAAACCTCTGATTTTTTCTAATTTGTTTGCAGTGTCCTCATGACAGATATTGTTCTCACTTTTGAGAAAAAAAGGAAAAGACTTTTTCATGTATTTGTAAGTCTCAAGACAAGTTTACTCAGTTATACTGTTGTCTTCCTAACTACACTGCAAACATCTCATCACTCTGATTTATGGAAATAGTTCCTGAAGAAATGTATTTTAAACATCTTTAGAAAGATGACAGAAATTCTAATAAATTATAAAAACATAATTTAGAGAAAAAACTATTTTCTAGGTATAAATAGCTGTAGATCAACAAATTACAGTATTTAAGAACGTTATTAGTTTAGATTTTGTGATTGAAAGATTTTTGTATGTGTGAAGTAAAATCTTTGCAAATGTCTTCTTTTCTGCCACTAGAGGGTACTCCAAGAACTTACAGTATATTTATAGCAAGGATTTATTTGGGGTTTTTTGGTTTGTAATGATCAAGTACTGTTGTCATACTAAACCTTAGCAGTTTAAACCCCCAAAATCATGATATTAAACAACTTTCAAAACCAGTCTAATACACCTTTTCAGCAAAATAGTGCAGCATACTCGAATTATAAGAAACACTGACTGACACGTAGGTTAGATTTAGTTGCACTCCTCCTATTTTTAAATTATCTAAATTATTATCTTTTCTTTATTTCAGACACAATTCTCTGGTTCACATCCTGTTTCTTCATCCAGATTTGGACAAGGCATTCCATTATTGGCAGGCTGAAGAAGTACAAAACGAGTTCTGATCTTGGTGCCTGTTTTTCTGCAAAGACCTCTACAGAGACCCCAGGAAGACCATTGTGAAACCTCACAGTCCAGTGGTGTTTCTGCAACATACACAATAAAAAGATAACTTTACATAAATATATGCTTAAGGGAAATACATAGTTGGCAAAGCATTAAGGAATGATGATCGAATAGTGTCCTTTCTTATACAAAAATATAGGTGATACTAAAAAAATCCAGATGTCATCTTATAAACGAAAATGTGAACTTTCAGCTGCTAGGCTCATCAATGCTGATATTATTACTATTACTGCAGTCTAGAGACTATCTGAGGTATTATATCAGTCATGTAGCATATTATCTATTGAATTGAAAATATAGAATTCCTATCAAAGAAAACTGAGCTTAAAAGAATTGTATTCAAAACATTGCATTATAAAACATTTACTGTCAAATTTTATAATTCATTTTCTTTCACATGGCTTACTAAAAGCACCATTATTAAAGCCTTTCTCTGGTTTATTTAGGTGTATTTATTTTTCTTTGCATGTAGATATTGTTCCTATTGTTGTTCATATCAAATTCCGTTTAACTTATAGAAAAATATATATATATTTTTCTTTGCATATTGTTGTTCATATCAAATTCCGTTTAACTTTTGTTCCAATTTGCTTCAGAAATAAAGAAAAGTCTCATTTTTAAAATAATTTTAATCATCTTGCCATTGTTTGGTATAGTTCTCTTTGCCAATAAAGATATTCTGTCACTAAAAGCATTTGAATACTAAAAGGGTTTTCAATGTAGTTTTCATTTACTGCAAGAAGAGAAGTCAGAAACTCTATCATACTTTTCGTAATGTATGCTTCCATTGAAAATATCTCCCATTAAAATACAGGTGACTATTCCTTTGCAGGTTAAATAAAAATATAGCTTTTTTTCCACAGAAAAATACATCAAAACTGTGTATCACAGCATTTGTGGGTAAAATAGGTGTGCACAAAACCAGCTTTAAATGCCGTACAAAAAGTGTGACCTCTGGTATATATTTCTGGTATTACGGTGGAACTCGTCACTTCTGTTGGGATCACAGGGAGTGAGGGACGTGGTTTGATCTCTGGTAATTGAATCTGTCCTTTTGATTCTGGAATATGTTTTTAAATGGACTGATCTACTGGTTAATATATGATAAAGTGAGGATATATGATTAAAAATTATTTTTGAAATCCATACTTTAAATGCGTTGTTTTAAATTTATATCCAAATAGGGCCAAATGTTCTTTTTGAATGTTGTGGAAAAGACATATGACTAAAAACGAGATATGTAGCACTCACTTTGAATATGTCTTGTTTACCAATAGAAATACTTTAAAACACACTATCAATTGACAGAGAAATAAATTTATTAAAGTATAAATCACGCATTATTATCTGTG